ATATATATATATATATATAATTCATTTTTTTATATGTACATGTATGTGTGTGTAATCTCAAAATATTTCATATGCCTTCACTGGTTCATCGGTTCTAAAACATTTTAAATTACAAAAATTACAGAGAATATTGATGAAATCAAAATAATTGATCTTTTACTTAATATATAAATAAAAAAAGATTAGCACATATAAAAGCACATTATTTTTTATAATTTTAATTTTCGTTTTCAGCAGTTATTAACAATTATTACAATTAACAATTATTATTATAATTTAATTATATTAATATTCTTTTTAATCTTTTTTTTTATACACAGACGTTTATTTTTTTATTTGTTTTTTTATTATGATTACTGTTGTCACATGGCTTAAAACACTCTGGTAGCTAATTCAAACAATTACATTAATAATCTTTTATATGTTTCGAAGAGTCAACGGCATTCATTTTGTGGCAAAACTTTTCTACCTGGTAGGCTGAAAAAAACCTCTGCAATCCTGACTCCCAAAAGCTGCCAACAGCAGCCAGCCAATCACAACAGCTTCTCTGCCAGCACTTTATTTTTGTGTGCAATATGCATCAGGCGGTCCGTGGGCTTTCCATGAGCAATCGGGCAAGCTGTCTTAGGCTGAGAATAACCACCTGAACGCTTCCTCTGATTTGTGACAGAACTGAGCAAAGTCACATCTCCATAAAACATCCTAAGAGAATGTGATCTAATTAAATCAAAATAAAATTATTTATTTTTATTTTATATTATACAGAAGAAAAGCATGCAAACCTTGGTAAGGACGTGCAGAGCTGCAGTCGTGGGAGTGACGGCACCACCTCCACCATACAGCCGCTGCTCTTCACCCCCACCAGACCCTCCAGAAGACAGTCACTGCTCACCCCAAACACCGACGTGTGATACCCTGCAATATTAGCAAAAATCAGATTTAAAAATGTTCCATAATAGCAGACCAAGCTAATGATCTGAAGGCAATTACAGCTCATTAAAGTCCTTTGAAACACGCGTATGATTTGTAGATGTTAAGAACTGTTGGAACGGCCATAAAGCAGGGATCAATGAGTTTATCCTATTTTAATGAGAGGATATTTAGCTGGTTTATTCAAGCAGGGAAACACTGGACTTGTTTTTCAGTTTGAAGCAGAATGGATTTCTGCATTATTGCAGCATTATGGTGCAGAGAAAATGATCAGTGCAAACTCATTTCTCGTTTTATAAGAGAATATTCAATGGTCCATCGGTTTTAAAACACTAGAAAAATTACAGAGTATTGATGAAAATTAACGCCATTTACCTACCATTTAATATGAACACACTACTTAATGTACTCAGTATTTTCTCAATAATATGTACTGCACATTATACTATAAGAAAAAATAGAATATATATTCATGAGCAAATCAACAAAAATCCCATCTTACATTATTTCCCACTGAATAATCAGTTTCAGTTCTGATTACAGAAGTTAAATTGCAGTTTCATGTTGCGTTTAAAGTGTTGTACAGCTCACCGCTGATTGTGATGTTGCCTGCGGTGCGAGGAACTCCAACCAGAGTAACCGGATAGAGACCAGACTCCGCTGGCAAAGACAGAGCGGCAGGAAGGGACTCAAAATCTACACCTGATGTCAACAGGCCCTGATGAACACAATCACACAGAATATACAGTACAGTGGTCAATATATAGTGGTCAGTATATAATCACTTGTATTATATATAAGGCAAGGTGAATGCTCTGCTTTTGTGATCCATGTAAGAAAGAATGTAAGGATGGGTTTATTATTTTCGGTTAAATACCAATAAATAAAACAATTTATTAAATAATAATGATAATAATAATAAACCATTTTAAAATAAATAAAATACATAAATATAACAATAAATTAAATAAACAGATATAAAAGTAAATAAATAAATAAACAAACAATTTTTAAAAATAAATTTAAAATAAATAAAATTAAAAGTAAATTCATTCATAAAAATTAAGGATTTAAATTTTTTTTTACAAATAAATAAACACATTTAAATAAATAAATTAAAAACAAACAAAATGTAAAATAAATACAAAATAAATAAGTGTTTAAATTGTTCTTTCTGTTGACTTCTGGTGTTTTCTCACCAAAGGATAAAAAAATGCAATTAAAAAGCATTTCACACCCTGTTTCTGGTATTTTGGCCCATTCCTCCATGCAGATCTCCTCTAGAGCAGTAATGTTTTGGGGCTGTCGCTGGGCAACATGGATTTTCAACTCCCTCCAAAGATTTTCTATGGGGTTGAGATCTGGAGACTGGCTAGGCCACTCCAGGACCTTGAAATGCTTCTTACGAAGCCACTCCTTCGTTGCCCGGGTGGTGTGTTTGGGATCATTGTCATGCTGAAAGACCCAGCCACGTTTCATCTTCAGTGCCCTTGCTGATGGAAGGAGGTTTTCACTCAAAATCTCATGATACATGGCCCCATTCATTCTTTCGTTTACACGGATCAGTCGTTCTGGTCCCTTTGCAGAAAAACAGCCCCAAAGCATGATGTTTCCACCCCCATGCTTCACAGTAGGTATGGTGTTCTTTGGATGCAACTCAGCATTCTTTCTCCTCCAAACACGACAAGTTGAGTTTTTACCAAAAAGTTCTATTTTGGTTTCATCTGACCATATGACATTCTCCCAATTCTCTTCTGGATCATCCAAATGCTCTCTAGCAAACTTCAGATGGGCCTGGACATGTACTGGCTTAAGCAGGGGGACACGTCTGTCACTGCAGGATTTGAGTCCCTGGCGGCGCAGTGTGTTACTGATGGTAGCCTTTGTTACTTTGGTCCCAGCTCTCTGCAGGTCATTCACTAGGTCCCCCTGTGTGGTTCTGGGATTTTTGCTCACATTTCTTGTGATCATTTTGACCCCACGGGGTGAGATCTTGCGTGGAGCCCCATATCGAGGGAGATTATCAGTGGTCTTGTATGTCTTCCATTTTCTAATAATTGCTCCCACCGTTGATTTCTTCACACCAAGCTGCTTATCTATTGCAGATTCAGTCTTCCCAGCCTGGTGCGGGTCTACAATTTTGTTTCTGGTGTCCTTTGCCAGCTCTTTGGTCTTGGCCATGGTGGAGTTTGGAGTGTGACTGTTTGAGGTTGTGGACAGGTGTCTTTTATACTGATAACGAGTTCAAACAGATGCCATTAATACAGGTAATGAGTGGAGGACAGAGGAGCCTCTTAAAGAAGAAGTTACAGGTCTGTGAGAGCCAGAAATCTTGCTTGTTTGTAGGTGACCAAATACTTATTTTACCGAGGAATTTGCCAATTAATACTTTAAAAATCCTACAATGTGATTTTCTGGATTTTTTGTTCTCATTTTGTCTCTCATAGTTGAGGTATACCTATGATGAAAATTACAGGCCTTTCTCATCTTTTTAAGTGGGAGAACTTGCACAATTGGTGGCTGACTAAATACTTTTTTGCCCCACTGTATACGTATATATAAAATAAAATAAAAATACATTTAAAATAAATAAGATTAAAAGTAAATTAATTCATAAAAATTAATAAGGATTTTTTAAAATGTACAAATAAATAAATTAATTAAAAACAAACAAAATGTAAAATAAAAAATAAATAAATAAGTGTTTAATTTGTTCTCTTTCTGTTGGCTTATGGTGTTTTCTCACCAAAGGAGGAAAAAAATGCAATTAAAAAGCAGATTAAATGTAAAACACATGCAGCCACCGACAGCTTTTCAAGGACAGAATCACACTGTCACGCGCTCATGGATGTTATTAAAAAATAAAACACATGCACACAAAACAAATTATTCAATGTCCTCCAAGCAAAAAAGTGGCGATTAACATAAACGGCATGTGACATTTTCACAAGCCAGTTAACACATTTTAAAAAATGTCTAAAATAACAAACATATATAATAAAAACCTAGTAGCAAATATTTTGTTTGGAATTGTAGTTTTCCAATTTCAACTTCAGACTATTTTCAGGCATAAACCTTTTTGTAAATGTATGGTCTTTTATGCTAGTTTTTGTCTTAGTGTGTGTTAACAGTAACACGAAGAAAATAAAGAGATGCCGAAACAAAGCAGAATGAAAAGACTGAAATAGACCAATGAAAAAAAACAACTGGTGACGGACCAATGGTTTGAGATTTTTGGGGTTTCTTTCTCTTCTCTTTTTTTTTTACACCAAACATCACATAATCAATCATCCTGATATCCATCTGATATGGAGGAGATGAAATCACTCCCAGCATGCTCTCCCCATTACCCATGGAGAAAACTGCTCTTGTTCACAGCACTACAGAGAACGGAAACAGCGTTAGCAGAATCACAGTGGCAGATGAGAGCGAGAGACACCGACAGATTGAAAACGAGATGCTTACACCTCCGTCGTGGAGGTGAGGGACGATTATTACCGTGCCCTGAGAAGTCGAGCTGCTCTCCGCGGAGAGTTTTCCCGCTTTCTATTCATACTCGAGACATCATTCAGACTCCACCAAATGTGCTTTATGGGATTTTTTCATATTAGCCTGAATGAAACCATTAAACTCTGGACTCAACAGGAAAGAATAGAGAATTTTCCATTTCTCCTGATATTCGATCCGCTCAGTGCCCAATGTCTCTGTGACATGAAACTTATATCTATCCAAAGAGAACATAACATAGGGCTTTAAAGTCAAGCCATTTTACTCAGGCAATTTGGAATTTAATTTCACATGCAACATATTTAGGAGTCAAAAAAATAAATAATATATATTTATATATGTGCGTGTGCTATATATGTGTGTGTGTATATATATATATATGTGTGTGTGTATATATATATATATATAATAAAATAAAATAAAATAAAAATACATTATATTACAATTAAACATACACTAATATACATTTCTATGTAATCTTCTATATATAGTCAAATAAGAGTAAATACTAAAAATTATTGTCTATTTAAATCAAAAATAAAAAATTTAAATTAATTATAATTTAATTATAAACTAATTGAAAAAAATGCATAATATAAAAAACAATATTTAATATTTACATAATAATATTATTAAATATCCAAAATATATTAAGGTTTCGGTAAAGTGGGCGTTATAAAGAAGGTGGTTGGAGAAAATACAATTACGCTCAATATTCTTTACTAAATGATTCAATGTACCATGAAATTTCACATTTTGGTTAACTTTGACTTGATTATTTTGGTACAATTTTTAATTATGTTCTAAAGCATCATGACTCAAGTGTAACGCAAGTAAAAATAAAAATACACAACTTGAAATATCAACAAAACAACACATTCGGTAGCTCAAGAGTTGTTTTTTGGATAAGAATAGAATGAATAATATATTCAATTCATATAGTAATTAGTATCAATCGTAATTGATACTTTTTTCATTTCTACATAGCTACTAAAAATACAAGAAATAAAATAAAACATAAATGTTGAATAAAATGACATATAATATATATTAAATTGATAAAACAAACAAATCAATTATCAGTGAATCAATCAACACAAAACAGTAGTTTAAAAAGCTCTTATGCTCTACTACATGACAGATATGATTGAAATATCTGTTTTGATAAACCATAAATGTTCCTAAATATAAAAAATAATAATAACAATAAAACTGGTTTTGGATGGGGATGTTTTGCAGAGATGGTGTGTGGCTGAAGGGATAACAGCTGTCTATTCCAGTGCCTGTCAATAATCAAGTCTGACTGAAGTTAGTAAAACATCTGAAATCACACAGCAACTTTAGTCAACTCCACTGTCGAGACGGACAGTAGAAACATAAACTCAAAGATCTTTCTTATTCAAACCCTGAACAGTTGAGCAGCTTTGTAATAAAGACACATAGTAAAGCAATACAGGATGTTTTATTGTATGTATTCAAAGCTTAATTAGCCATTGGCTACAATGACATGTTCAGCTCTGAAGGCTAGTTGTAAGCGCCTAACCTATAAAATACAGGTACTAAGTAAAACCTCATATTATGTGGAGGGTTTCAGTATTGTATAAGCCGTATTTTTTAAATAACTCATTTGCATTTCCTTCTTGAAAAGGTTAATTAGCTCGACTGCTAATGATCTGTTCTTTCCTTTTCTGGTCTGGATGTCTAACGGCAGACTTTTATTTCTACAAAGATCCTCTGGAAATATTTGCTCTTTGTGTCTTTTTTGTTCCCTGATCCACCAGACAAAAATTATACAAGCCATTTTCAAACGCTCCGTAACATAATCATAGGCACTTAATTAAGCAGAGAGTGAATGAAATGAATACCTAGAAAATAAATATTTTCAAAGCAGTTTCATGAATTGACATTAGAAAATGAGAGATGCAGCAGCAGGCAAATTACATTTTACAAATTAAATATACACATTTTATATATTTAAAATATTAAAATGATGTACATATATGCATATTATGTAAATATTTTATGTATACGTATAATTATGTAAATAAGATACAACATTTAATATGTAAAATGTATTTTTTCTTTGTTACTACTAGGCTTAAGATTCAATTAATTTATAA